GAAAATCCTGGCATTTAACGACATTCAATATAATGGCTAGCGAATTATTTAATAAATGGCTAGCTATAATTTTAATTATTCATTAAAAATTTTAATTCAAATATAAAAACTTTTGTAATTCATTAAATTATTAACTTGCAAAGCTTTAAAAATTTTTAAAAATTTACACTAATATAAACAGGCCACCCTTAGATATAGATTTGCAGTTGCTCAACCAACTGTTCTAACGGAGTGAAAATTTATCTTTTTTAGAAGTATAAATCGTTTAACTCTCGCCCGAGTGTTTTATTAAATTTATATTTATTTGAAATATTAATTCAAAATATTATCTCTTTATCTCTCTAAACTATCCATATCCCTCAATAATTCTTATACCCGCGAATCTCTTTATACCTCATTATTTACTTATATCAAATCACCCTTGATCAATTCAGAACTCCTTTATCGGAGGATATCATGGGTATGTCTCCTTATATACAACATATTCAATCATATCCCTTGCAATAATTTCAGCCATAAAATAATGTCCACTCATTCACATCGAGTCCTTATTTTGTTACTTAACACAACAGGTCCACTGCGCACTAACAATTCACCTTCAATCACATCTCTCGTAGGGTGTGCTTATATTAGAGACCGCTTAAATTAGATACCGTACTTCTACTTATATTAGAGCATTTACGGTATGTATATGTAATAATTATAGAGTGAAAAATTAAGGTATGTTTATTCCGAAGCGAATTGTTTGCATTTGAATAAAATAAAATGATTAAATTCAAATAATTCTCAAGACATTACTATAATAGTAATTTCGAATAATTTGAAAATATCAACAGATTCGAGGGATTAGATATTATGTATATGAAGGGATTCATAGGGATTATCTTTGATTTTAAGGTACTAAAAAATTTGAGTAATTAATAGGGATATTAATAATCGAAGAATAGAAGGGATTTTGTTAGATGCGAGGATTAATGAAGATATTTTTAGATTAAGTGGATTTGTTGGAGATATCAAAGGATTTGGAAAGATATTTCTTACTAAACTAACAAAATTTTGCAGCACTAAAGTCAATCACTTTAGTGATGTCAATCAAAAAATATTTTTAAGTTTTGTGGTAATTCAAAAAGGGAATTGGTTATAAAAAATAACTTTACTAGAAAATATCGAATTTCAAGATCGAAGTTTCGATTCATTAAAGCGAATATTCGATTCAACATATAATATAGTCAAGAATAGTCAAGTGATAGTCACTTTGCCTATATAGCCAATAATAGTCAAGTGATAGTCTCTTTACTTATAGCCAAGAATAGTCAAGTGATAGTCACTTTGCCTATATAGCCAAGAATAGCCAAGTGATAGTCTCTTTACTTATAGCCAAGAATAGTCAAGCGATAGTCTCTTTACTTATAGCCAAGAATAGTCAAGCGATAGTCTCTTTACTTATAGCCAAGAATAGTCAAGCGATAGTCTCTTTACTTATAGCCAAGAATAGTCAAGCGATAGTCTCTTTACTTATAGCCAAGAATAGTCAAGCGATAGTCAAGCTATAGTCTATCCGAATTTGCGCCTTGTTTAGAAAAATAAAACTTAGAAAAAAAATTCTTGACTCCGACTCCGGGCTTTTAACATCTTGGCTCTGGCTCAAGTGCCGGCGATTTTCGGAGCGGTCCATGTTGGTTCAGGCCTCCGTTGGAAAATCAATAAATTATTTTTCATTGGGAGATTTGGGTAGATTATGGGGGATATCGAGTGATATCAACCGCAGGCAAAAATTTTGAACCGCAGGCAAAAATTTTGAAAATTTAGAAGATCCTTAAGCAAGAAATCATCCTTATTTCATCCCAGAAATTATCCCAGAAAATCACAAAGAAAACCATATTTAGTCACATCAAAACTACGAACCCAACACAAAATCCGGTTTAATCCTTTTGAAAGAAAACGAAAAAACTTATTTTACCTGTCTCAATTTTCTCTTCCTTTTCTTTTCACGCCTCTCATCTTTTACAATCTTCTTTTTCTTTGACGCATCTTTGGGGGGTGTAATGAAAAACCTTGGCTCCTGCTCCGGGCATTTCAAATTTTTGGCTCAGGCTCCAGCTTTGGCTCCGTAGCTAGCTCCCGGAGCACTAATTACAAGTAATTGGAAAAGTATTAAAATTAAATTCGGTTATACTTTTAAAACAGAGTCTACTTTGAGTGTATATTTTTTAATATTTATTTTTTAGATATAATTTTACTCAGATTTTCATTTTTGTTTTCCATAAATTAGACAATGATCGACAGGGGAAAAAATTATTTCAAACAAACTAATCGTCTACTTTTTATTATTATTATTCTTTTTTCTGTTTTTGAAAAAATTGATGTTTTTGATTTCAACATTTTTCAACCATATCAAAATTACATTATAGTTGTTCCACATCAACCTTTGATTAATCCTGGAATCATAAGTACTTATTTAAATTTATTAATTTTACTGTCGGTCCTAACTTATGAGTTTCGGTCCTCGCCCATTAAATAACTATCCCACTGATAATTATTTAATGGATATCCTAAGTTAGGATTTTTAATTAGGAGTAACTTAAAGTGGACCATCTGACCTCATATTTTTTAATTAATTTTTACATTTTTTTTAATTTTTACATTTAAAGCCCGTTTTAATGAATTGAAAAAAATTGCTTTTTCTGGCGGTAGCACACAATCTAACGATGTTTTAATCTACGAGGAATTTGTATTTATGGAGAATTTTGACGAAACAAATAACAATTTATCTTGGCATTTATTAGGAGAGGGGGCTATAGAAGAATACAAAATTATGAAAAAAATATATAAAAATGTCATTGATAAATTAACAGAAAGAGTTGAAAAGTTTGTTGAAGAAGAAATAAATGATCATTACTCGGATGTGGATGTTGATAATTTTAAAGAAGATATTAAAAGATACGACCAGTTAAATGCTAATGGCGAAACAGGTGATAATTGTTGGTATTAATTATTAGTTTGAGGAAAACATCCTAAGTGTAATTTTTCTAAAAACCTCAAGACGAGAATTGCATCTCTTAATTAGGGTAATTCTTGGTTGAAACTCTAATCATAATTAGCGAATTCTGTATTAAATTTGTTTCAGTTTCGTCCTTCATCCATTTTGGCCTTTTAGATATATTTATACTATTTGAGATTTTAATAACACATTATTTTTTGTTACAAATTTAGCATACTCATTTTTTAAATAATTTCTAGGCATAAAACCAAAAGCTAAAGCTTTCAAATTTTTTCGAAAAACGACTAGTTCGACTAGTTCAATGAAGAATACTTATAGCAAGGACTATTACAAGGCTAAAATAAATTTAGTTATCCAATGTAAAGTATTCATCAGTGATTTAAACTCTGAGGGGTCAGAAGGCTCATTTATTGATATATTCTCTTTTATGGAAAAACATTCGAAATTAAAGGATTTAAAATTGATTTTTGATTTGTCATCTATTCAAAGCATTGAATTAGACAAAGCAATTAATGAAAAATTTTATGAAGACCATAAGAAAAATAAAGAAATGGGTAGAGGATATAACTATGCCGTTGTGGAAGGTGCTGGACCAATTGGATTATACACTACTTTTAAACTTTTTATTGGTAAATAAATATTTTTTATTTATTTTCTCAATAGAAATCCGCATTAAATTGTATAATAAAATGTGGGAGAAAACGCACCCAAGACGTGGATCTAGGGACATAAAAGGATAAGTTCCATGTCAAAAGAATACGACCAACACAGTTTCCGAATAAGAGACCGGTGGCAACTCCAATATTTAACTCAGAGTTGTATTGCATATCATTAGAATTTTTAATCATTAAAATAAATAATACAATTTAGAAGGAATTAATGTTACTCTTTTAAATGATCGTTCTGCGGAGTATACACGCGAACAATTTATCCTTCTTGATCGGAAATGGATATATCAATTAAATTTAATTTTGGGCACACAATTTGAGCAACTCTTTAACGAAGAAAATTCTATGGCAAAATTGCTTGATAACCATGTCGGGATAGTTATTATGAAAAATTTTGAAACTGCTTTAATGAACCGTTTGAAGTGCCTAGCTTTATATGTTGATGAAAGAGAGGAAAATGAAGAAGGAGAAAAGTCTTTCGTAAAATTATTATATGAAACAGAAGTTTTTGACATAAATTTGCATTACGAAAAACCCTTAGCAATTCTTGGAACGCCTATCAGGCAAGACAAACCATTTGGAAAAAAATATTACAAAAAACTTGTAAATAACATTATGAATGAATACGGCACAGATCCTGACGGAGCACGTAGAACAATTATTAAAAGCAAACAACAATATTTAGAAAATATATTTGGTGAAAATACAATTCCATATATTAGTAATGAAGGCAATATAGATTATATTAATGCTAAAAAGCTAGCTAAACTTCAGATTAACGGAAAAGCCTTTGACATACAGAATACTATCAATGGACTGCCATTGAATACGTATTTTGGAAGTAATTTTTTAGGGATTCCTTTTGATTTGCTTTTTTGTGCTGGTGGAGCAAATGACCGAATAAGAGATGACTTTATAGGTAAATAATTTCTAGAATCCCCATTAGAGTTATCAGAAATTATTTAAAAAAATTTAAAAAAATATTTAATTAAAATTTTCGGTATGGAGTATATTTATTTAAAAAATAAATCGTTAATAATAAATTATGTTTTTTTAAATTATTACGACTTTTATTGTTTTATGCTGTTATTTTATTTTTATTGTGCCACACTACGACATTGTTGTCGAATTAAGTACGTAATTGTTGTCGAATACCTTTTGATGACTTTTTTTATGCTGCTAAATTAATAAATAAAAAAATAAAAATATTTAAATTTTAAGAAGAACCACAGGTGCTAACTGAATCTAAGAATTACAGTTCAATTTACATCGACAAAGCAGACCCTGAAATAAAAATTACAGAAGGAGATTATACATATTTGAGTAAATCAATGATTGAGATGGGAATTCATCTTCAAAAACAAGGGTTTTATGAATTTATCGTTAACTCTAATATTTCTCATCGTCTGAAAAGTCGTTATGGCAATATAATCAACTTTATTATTTATGGAGTGATGGAAGACGGTCACGGATATTTAATTACCCCGTATAATAATTATACTTATGAAACGCTCAGTTTACATGTTTTTGAGTTAAAACAAAGAATATCTATTGCAACAAATACACCCACTGCTCTTGTTAATTTTATTGAAGAGATTAAAGCTGAAATGAATGCAAATCCACATTGGGAGAAATATTATGTGAATTTTATTAAAGAATTAGAGAACAAATGGGCTATTTCACTTTTTAAATATTTAGCATCTTTATATGATCATGATGCTGATAAATTAATAGTTAAAACAGAAGAAAATGAGGATTGTGATGAAGAAGACGATGATTACCATTATTTTAAAATTTTGAGTTCAAATACTTTTTGGATAAAAATTAAAGGAGTAGAAAATCCAGCAAAAAGATATCGTACAGAAAACGATTCAGCAATTGTTGCAGCTGTGGGTGATGCAAATACGAGTGCTCATTTTTTCACTGGAAGCGGATTAAGCACAGGCAAGCTTATAATAAACTAGAAAATTACTTTTATTTCAACGAAAGATTGAAATCAGTTTTTTTCAATTTAAATTATAAATAAATATGTCCTACTTTATTAAGGACAAAATATGTGAAAAGTCTGCAAATTTTAAATATTTCTGGTACGATAAGCTCTAGACACGAATTCTACTATAACTTCTTTCACAGATATTTGCTGCAACCATTTATATTTTGAATAATTTTTAGGTCGATTCGGTGTTGAAAAAGCAATTTTGAAAATTAAAGAGTTTAATAGGTCCTCTGACGAACAGCTGAATTTAAAGGATATGATAGAAAAGGTATTGAAAGAAGTGCGAAATCGTGTGCTCGATAAAACTAAAGTGTTTTTGAATATCCATCCTGGCATATATGGTGATCAAAACTATTAAATGTTGAGCATATTGAAAATTGTTGAGGTTTGAGGAAAGGATGTGTTTCTTGAAAGTTTTTAATTCATTTTTTTTTATTTTGGAATGGGGGTTTTTGGCCCTTTTGGGTCTTTTTTGATTTTGGGTATTATTTAAACATTTATTTAAACAAAAGATTCGTTTTTTTATTACATAAAATTTCATTTTGATTGAAGACCTCGAGATTTAGGATTTGAAAACGCACACAAACTTAGTGCATGCTGATTTTTTCGGCTTTAACCTTTTGATGATTTATCCAATTCAAATAAATCTTATATCATTCGAAAGCCCTCAATAGGAGGAATTTTTTCCAACATAAAGGATCAATTCTGTTCACTCGTTAAAAAGTTATAACCGAATAAATGTGAGAAACACCATAAAACTTGTCGTATTGTGTTATAACTTCTTAACGAGTGATCAGACTTAATCTATCCTATTTATAGAAACAAGGTATCCCTTATCGTATAAGATTTATTTGAATTCTACAAGCTCAAAAAGTATTAGCTAATTAATGTCGGATGGCACTCATTTGTCAGTTTGTTGGCGTATAACCGTTAATTACCATTTTCTATTATGTTTGAAATTCCATTTAATTTGTGATTTCTCTTGTTTAAAGGAATGATAATTTTGTTAGATTGCTAGTTTAACGACAAACCATCTTTTAAAAAATTCATTTGATATTTTACCATGTAAAATTTTACTTTAATTGTCATGATAAAATTTTTCCACATTATAGACATAATTAGTTTTAGGTGAAACTTTTAAAATTGTTTCTTTATTTTTGGTGAATTACATATTTAAATATTTATTAACAAAATACAAATTTTGCTTAAATGCAGACCAAGCCATTAATAGATAACTATAATAATTGGCTTTGATCTATTTTTTAAAATTTTTTAAAAACAAAAAAATTTATGGCAAATTTATAATAAAAATTTTATCGAAGATTTTCTAAACTTAATTCAAAGTTGCAGTTGTCAGATAAATTTATTTATTTATGTTTAGCAGTTAGTATTTTATCAATTATGGAATTTATTTTCAAAGTGGCACAAAAAATTTATGACAAATTATAATAAAAATTTTATCGAAGATTTTCTAAACTTAATTCAAAGTTGCCGTTGTCAGATAAATTTATATTTTTATATATGGAATTTATTTTCAGAGTGGCACAAAAAATTTATGACAAATTTATAATAAAAATTTTATCGAAGATTTTCTAAACTTAATTCGAAGTTGCCGTTGTCAGATAAATTTATTTATTTATGTTTAGCAGTTAGTATTTTATCCATTATGGAATTTATTTTCAAAGTGGCACAAAAAATTTATGACAAATTATAATAAAAATTTTATCGAAGATTTTCTAAACTTAATTCAAAGTTGCCGTTGTCAGATAAATTTATTTATTTATGTTTAGCAGTTAGTATTTTATCCATTATGGAATTTATTTTCAGAGTGGCACAAAAAATTTATGACAAATTTATAATAAAAATTTTATCGAAGATTTTCTAAACTTAATTCGAAGTTGCCGTTGTCAGATAAATTTATTTATTTATGTTTAGCAGTTAGTATTTTATCCATTATGGAATTTATTTTCAAAGTGGCACAAAAAATTTATGACAAATTATAATAAAAATTTTATCGAAGATTTTCTAAACTTAATTCAAAGTTGCCGTTGTCAGATAAATTTATTTATTTATGTTTAGCAGTTAGTATTTTATCCATTATGGAATTTATTTTCAGAGTGGCACAAAAAATTTATGACAAATTTATAATAAAAATTTTATCGAAGATTTTCTAAACTTAATTCGAAGTTGCCGTTGTCAGATAAATTTATTTATTTATGTTTAGCAGTTAGTATTTTATCCATTATGGAATTTATTTTCAAAGTGGCACAAAAAATTTATGACAAATTATAATAAAAATTTTATCGAAGATTTTCTAAACAATTCAAAGTTGCCGTTGTCAGATAAATTTATTTATTTATGTTTAGCAGTTAGTATTTTATCCATTATGGAATTTATTTTCAAAGTGGCACAAAAAATTTATGACAAATTATAATAAAAATTTTATCGAAGATTTTCTAAACTTAATTCGAAGTTGCCGTTGTCAGATAAATTTATTTATTTATGTTTAGCAGTTAGTATTTTATCCATTATGGAATTTATTTTCAAAGTGGCACAAAAAATTTATGACAAATTATAATAAAAATTTTATCGAAGATTTTCTAAACTTAATTCGAAGTTGCCGTTGTCAGATAAATTTATATTTTTATATATGGAATTTATTTTCAGAGTGGCACAAAAAATTTATGACAAATTTATAATAAAAATTTTATCGAAGATTTTCTAAACTTAATTCGAAGTTGCCGTTGTCAGATAAATTTATTTATTTATGTTTAGCAGTTAGTATTTTATCCATTATGGAATTTATTTTCAGAGTGGCACAAAAAATTTATGACAAATTTATAATAAAAATTTTATCGAAGATTTTCTAAACTTAATTCGAAGTTGCCGTTGTCAGATAAATTTATTTATTTATGTTTAGCAGTTAGTATTTTATCCATTATGGAATTTATTTTCAAAGTGGCACAAAAAATTTATGACAAATTATAATAAAAATTTTATCGAAGATTTTCTAAACTTAATTCGAAGTTGCCGTTGTCAGATAAATTTATTTATTTATGTTTAGCAGTTAGTATTTTATCCATTATGGAATTTATTTTCAAAGTGGCACAAAAAATTTATGACAAATTATAATAAAAATTTTATCGAAGATTTTCTAAACTTAATTCGAAGTTGCCGTTGTCAGATAAATTTATATTTTTATATATGGAATTTATTTTCAGAGTGGCACAAAAAATTTATGACAAATTTATAATAAAAATTTTATCGAAGATTTTCTAAACTTAATTCAAAGTTGCCGTTGTCAGATAAATTTATATTTTTATATATGGAATTTATTTTCAGAGTGGCACAAAAAATTTATGACAAATTATAATAAAAATTTTATCGAAGATTTTCTAAACTTAATTCAAAGTTGCCGTTGTCAGATAAATTTATTTATTTATGTTTAGCAGTTAGTATTTTATCCATTATGGAATTTATTTTCAGAGTGGCACAAAAAATTTATGACAAATTTATAATAAAAATTTTATCGAAGATTTTCTAAACTTAATTCGAAGTTGCCGTTGTCAGATAAATTTATTTATTTATGTTTAGCAGTTAGTATTTTATCCATTATGGAATTTATTTTCAAAGTGGCACAAAAAATTTATGACAAATTATAATAAAAATTTTATCGAAGATTTTCTAAACTTAATTCAAAGTTGCCGTTGTCAGATAAATTTATTTATTTATGTTTAGCAGTTAGTATTTTATCCATTATGGAATTTATTTTCAAAGTGGCACAAAAAATTTATGACAAATTATAATAAAAATTTTATCGAAGATTTTCTAAACTTAATTCGAAGTTGCCGTTGTCAGATAAATTTATTTATTTATGTTTAGCAGTTAGTATTTTATCCATTATGGAATTTATTTTCAGAGTGGCACAAAAAATTTATGACAAATTTATAATAAAAATTTTATCGAAGATTTTCTAAACTTAATTCGAAGTTGCCGTTGTCAGATAAATTTATTTATTTATGTTTAGCAGTTAGTATTTTATCCATTATGGAATTTATTTTCAGAGTGGCACAAAAAATTTATGACAAATTTATAATAAAAATTTTATCGAAGATTTTCTAAACTTAATTCGAAGTTGCCGTTGTCAGATAAATTTATTTATTTATGTTTAGCAGTTAGTATTTTATCCATTATGGAATTTATTTTCAGAGTGGCACAAAAAATTTATGACAAATTTATAATAAAAATTTTATCGAAGATTTTCTAAACTTAATTCGAAGTTGCCGTTGTCAGATAAATTTATTTATTTATGTTTAGCAGTTAGTATTTTATCCATTATGGAATTTATTTTCAGAGTGGCACAAAAAATTTATGACAAATTTATAATAAAAATTTTATCGAAGATTTTCTAAACTTAATTCGAAGTTGCCGTTGTCAGATAAATTTATTTATTTATGTTTAGCAGTTAGTATTTTATCCATTATGGAATTTATTTTCAGAGTGGCACAAAAAATTTATGACAAATTTATAATAAAAATTTTATCGAAGATTTTCTAAACTTAATTCGAAGTTGCCGTTGTCAGATAAATTTATTTATTTATGTTTAGCAGTTAGTATTTTATCCATTATGGAATTTATTTTCAGAGTGGCACAAAAAATTTATGACAAATTTATAATAAAAATTTTATCGAAGATTTTCTAAACTTAATTCGAAGTTGCCGTTGTCAGATAAATTTATTTATTTATGTTTAGCAGTTAGTATTTTATCCATTATGGAATTTATTTTCAGAGTGGCACAAAAAATTTATGACAAATTTATAATAAAAATTTTATCGAAGATTTTCTAAACTTAATTCGAAGTTGCCGTTGTCAGATAAATTTATTTATTTATGTTTAGCAGTTAGTATTTTATCCATTATGGAATTTATTTTCAGAGTGGCACAAAAAATTTATGACAAATTTATAATA